ACTTCAACTTCTTCTAAAATGTTGTATTGCTTGTTAGTATTTGCTCATAGCTGTACTTTGCAGATCTGTTAAGGTTCTTCTGTGACTGCTTAAAACATTTCCGATACAATAATCTTTTTTGCCTGAGTCTAGAATGATGTACCACTCCTAACAGTTGTTCATTTGATGGTCATCCTGGCTCTGTCTTACTAGAGTGGGTACGGCAGCATCCAAGCCTGCAAAATCTGAGTTCTTTTTCTCTTCATGAAGGCCTGGGTGCTTGCTCTGAAATGTGCATTTTCTTTTTTTGCTGCCTTAATTTTTTGGTTTGTTTTCATTGTTGTTTTGGAGCAAAGTCTCGCTATGAAGCCCATGGCCTCAACCTCGGAATCTTCCTGCCTCAGTCTCCTGGGAGCTAACAGGAGGAGCTAACTGGGATAACAGGCGTGCACCATCGCACTCAGCCTGTTGTCTTCCTTGCCTCTGTGTCCTCCCCATCATCTGGTCTCTGGCCCTCAGGACTGCTTTAATACTTCTGCCTTCCTTATCTCAGTGTTGATTTAGCTGGTTTGCCTTCCTCTTCTCGCAACAGTGTCTGGCCAGTGATCCCAACAACAAGAAAATCAATAATGGCATTTCATTAAGGTTGCATTTTGGATTGATTTTGGTACAAAATACAAGTTTTCTATCTGTGTGACACTGAAGACCACGTCCCTGCATGATTAATTAGGTGCTACTAGACAAAAAGCAACAACAAAGCTTGACCACATTGCTTTTAGCTTTTAAATTGAAAGTGTAGTGTTCTTGGTGGACTCTGGGAAGCCGATGACGCTGGCGAGAACCAAGTAGCTGGGGTTGACAAGTGAGAGGGATGTCTGACTCTTGAGAGGCCTGAGGAGGTAAACCCCTGACTGACCGGGCGTCTGAGAAGAGATGAGGACAGAAATTAGGACTTTAAGGTGTAGTCCTTTGTCTTCTCTGTTGGGGACATTTGGCTCAATTTGGAGGGGAAAACAAAAACCAATGTGGCTTCTTCCTTCCTTCCTTCCTTCCTTCCTTCCTTCCTTCCTTCCTTCCTTCCTTCTTCCCTCTTCCTTCCTCTTCCTCCCTTCTTTCCTCCCTCCCTTCCTTCCCTCCTGTCATTTCTAGAGATTGAACTAGGCAGTTGAACTGTGCACTTGTAGAAGTCAGGACAACCTCAGGTATCAGTCTTCACCGTCCTTTAGACGAGCTCTTTTTACATTTTTTTTCTATTTTGTATATCAGGCAATATATGGGTCCTGGAGATCTGAGCTCAGGTCTTCATACTTGTGAGCAAGCAAAGCACTTTACACACTAAGCCATCTCCCCAGCCTCAACTTTGACCTTTAAAAAAAAAGGATTATTTTATGTGCATGGGTGTTTTGCCTGTGTGTGGTACCCACGGAGCCTTGAATCCTCTGGAACTAAGGGGTTGTGAGCCACCACATGGGTGCTGGGAGCTGACTGAGCTTTCTCTATAATCTCCATCGACTTTTGAATAAAACCTACAAACAAGTGCCATCATGTTTGACAAAAGCCAAGCAGAGCAGATGGCCCCAAGAAATGACTGTTTTACAAAAGTGACAGCTCAGGAAGAAGACCTGTCCTTTTTCTGAGTATGTTTATTTGTTGAAACTGTTTACTTGCAGTTTATTTGTTGACATTTTTTTTAGCTATTAGATTATGACTCAACAAATCATTTGTGTACACTGTACAGTTATATCCAAATTTGATCAGTCATTTGAAACCCAAGAACCAGAGTGCAGAGCAGGATGTCTTTAACTGTCCCCACTGCAGCTCTTTCCCCTCCCTGGGTATGTAGGCATAGCAGATAGGTGTACAGACCAAACAGCTATGGATAATAAATGATAAAAATGTGTTTTAAAACAATTATTTGGTGTCCATATAATTTTAGCACTTAGTATAATATAAAAATGAATGAAAATTTGCATCCTAATGAAGTGGACGTGCTTGTTCATATACTTACTGCGCTGCTGGAGATCAGCTCAGCACCTCAGGCTTGCTGGGCAGTGCTCCACCGTTGAGCTACATCCCCAGCTTGCCTCTTTATTTTTATGTAAGGAATTAATTCCATCTTGGCTGAGTGTTTGAATCTGCATAGAGGGTCTTCAACATTGTCCAGAGCTGATAGACACTTTGATTCTGTAGCCATCAATGCTGAGCGTGCCCCTCACATAAATATGTAGTACCAAGTGACAGGCTATATTTAGGGATCTTTGAAAAATTGTGGGGCATTCTGACCTAAACCCAAGCAAAACTCATTTTAACAATTTTTTATGAAACTCAAGTTAGCAACTCAAACAGCAAGTTTTGGAATTGAACATTTTAGCACACAATGCAGTCCAAAGATGTGTTGATGCTAATTTGATGCTTCTGTGCTGAGGAAAGTACTGTACGTGCATTGAGAGCCCATCCACTGCTGTGCTTCTGGGAACGTGGCCTTGGTTGCCCTAACAAATGGCAGAAATGCTTCCTGTACCTGTTTTACCATCAGAAACTTGGCTCTGTTGACCTGGATCCTTTTTCAGATTTCCTGGATTCCAGTTTGGACAGGAAGGAGGAAAAAAAAAAAAAAAAACACTGTAGGATTAAACAGAAGATTAACATTAGCTTCAATACCATTTCTTTACTAGTGACCACCCCATTTGGGGTGTAGGGACAAGAAGAGGATGTTTAAAAAGTAGAATTCAGAGAGCCATGGCCAGTGTGCTCCTTGACAGGTCAACCCTTGCTACAACAGAAACAGACACGCAGCTGCACATGCTAGTTAGTCTTCACGGCCAGCCTAGGAGTTCCTGGGAAGAGGGTTGCAGGAAGGATTGTCTAGATGGGGTTGGCCTGTGGGCATGCTTCTGGAAGATTGTTTTATTCTGGATTTTTTTGAGACAGGGTCTCACTTTGTAGCTTTGGTGTCATGGAACTCACTATGTAAATCAAGCTAGCCTTGAACTCAGAGGTCCACCTGCCTCTGCCTCCTGAGTTAAGGGTGTGTTCTACCACAACCAGCTGGAAGATTGTTTGGATAGCCTTCATTGATGTGAAGTGGGCAGCACCATTTGGACTCTGGACTGTATATGTGTAGAAAGCTAGCTGAATACCAAGCATGCCTGCGCTCCTTCTCTCTGCTCTTGACTATGGATGTGATATGGCCACCTGTCTCAGGTCCTGCTCCAATACTTGCCCCTGGTAATGGACTATAATGTGGAACTGTTAGCCAAATAAACCCTTTCTTCCCTAAGTGGCTTTTTCTTGGGATGTTTCATCACAGCAACAGAGGTAAACTAAAAGGGTGCTCCTGAGGGATCCTGTGAGCCCTGTGCCCAGACAGCTGTTGTGTGCCCTTAGGTTCCCATGGGTCCCTTTCCTCTCCCTCTCCCTAGGCCCAAGCTATCTTTCCCTCCTCCCTCCCACCCTCAGGTACTTGACATTGTGACACAATTTGTCAGGCCACACTCTTGTCCTGGGACACATGCAGCCCATGGGCCACAGGTCGGACACACCTATATCCCACCGTGTCAGCCTGCTTTATCCAGGAGGCCAAATGCAGAAAGGTTCCCAGAAAGAGGCTACTTGGGGAGGCACATTGTCCTAGGCATTGTTCCCCACTGAGATCCTGGGAAATGTCTGGAATGAGTGTTGATCAAAGTATTGCTGGGAGTGGGATGGGGTACATAGGACAGAAATAGTACTTAACAGTCCTTTGCCTCCGTGGTAGAGACACAAAGTATCCCTGGGTCAGATAACACTGGTTTGTGTCTGGATGCCTCACTCTGCCTTGTTAGCTTTGTGTGTACTCAGTTGTGGGTGACCACTCAGAAGCAACTTTGTTCAGAGTGCAGAGCAAGTGTTCGTGGGAATGTAATGCCATTGCCTGTCTGTATTGAACCTCTGAGTGTGCCCCAAGTTCATTGATGACAATATCTTTACTATGTTAACACATTCCAGGCCCGTGGCACTTTTTTCATTCTCTAAAGGATGCCTAAAAGGTGTTCGTTAAAATCCAGCTTTCAAGCCTGGCGTGGTAACACACACCTTTAATCCAGCACTTGGGAGGCAGAGGCAGGTGGATCTCTGAGTTCAAGGCCAGCCTGGTTTACAGAGCGAGTTCCAGGACAGCCAGGGCTACCCTGGCTCGAAACCCTGTCTTGAAAAACAAACAAACAAACAAAAAATATAAAGCTTTCTATAAGTGGACTTACTGTTGACTGGAACTGTACATGTTGTTTTCAAGGCCCACTCTGTAGTTCAAATTTTTAAAATTATTTTTAATTACATTTATTTATTTACTTTGGGCGAGGACAACTCCTTCCGTGGTTGTGAGGCCCTGGGATTGAACTCAGGTTGAGTCTGACAACAAGTGCTTTTCTCCACCAAGCTGTCTCACTGGTTCTACCTCCAACTCTTAATACTTGCTTATTATGAATGTGATCCAGGTCTCCTTTGTCTTCAGCTCTCCCTGCTGTTCGAGGACAAAAAAAAAAAAAAGGATTCTTTGCATGTTACCCTGTTTTTCCTCCCTCTGATGTCATCTTAGTATAAACTGAGAGTTGAACAGATCAAAGGTGCACACCTTGTGTATTTAAATCGTCACAGGTTCCTGGTTTTGCATGCTCCTGGCTTAGCTGCCTAACTCATCCCAAGCATTCAGTCTCATTTTGTTCTATTGCATTTCCTAAGATGACATTTGGATTAGAACTTGGAGACCAAAAACTTGAAGTTTTAAGTGGCTTTGGGTCATTGACAATGGAATTGCCGTGGGTGGTCGTGGGCATTGCTTACAGGCTAAAGAAGGAAAGGCTCTTGGTAAGAGCACATATGCTGGGAGGTGTTCATCCCTCTTTCCATGGCAACCTTATCTGAGGTTATGCATTCTTCTCTCACAGAGTTAGTAAGAAATCTCAGCTGCTGTTCCGAGTTGTTTATGCGTCATTACTGGAGCCTGTTTTATCATTTGATTCTATTTCCTTCTGTCTTCCCAGGTGGCATTGGCAGGGTGGTCAATGGAGCCTTCATGGTGCTGAAAGGGCATCGGTCCATTGTTAACCAGGTCCGGTTTAACCCCCACACGTACATGATCTGCTCTTCTGGTGTAGAAAAGATTATCAAGGTGAGACACTTTCTTTCCCCTTCCATCCTTTTTAGGGAAATGTTTGTAGGTTTTTTTGTTTTTGTTTTTTTTTTTGTTTTTGAGCTGAGGACTGAACCCAGGGCCTTGCGCTTGCTCGGTAAGCACTCTACCACTGAGCTAAATTCTCAACCCTATAGTTCATAACTGGAAGAAACTGGAACAATGTGTATAGGGATTTGTATCTAAATATATTGAGCATTTGTTAAAGTTCTCAGTGAGTGCCAAAAATGGTGGGCCATGCCTGTAAGCCTGACACTTAGAGCTGAGGTTAGGAGAACCACAAGCCCAAAGCCAGCTCTGCTGCTGAGCAGGACTCAGTCTTTAAGGGGGCAGTGTGTCAGTGATTTTGACATATTGTAAAATATTAGAAGTTGATATTGGAAAAGTAGGTAGGGGTCTGGTGGTAGTGGTACACACCTTTAATCCCAGCTCTTGGGAGGCAGAGGCAGGGGGAATCTCTGTGAGTTAAAGGTCAGACAGCGAGGGCTACACAAAGAAACCCTGTCTCAAAACCCACCCCCACCCCAAAAAAGTAGGTGGGCGTGGTGGTATATGTTTACATGTTTTTAATCCCAGCTCTCAGGATGCAGAGTTGGGCAAATCTCTGAGTTTAAGCTAACATAGTCCTACACGGTGAATTCAGGCCAGGCAGGGCTACACAAGTTGTTTGTTTGTTTGTTTGATTGGTTTGGGTTTGTTTTTGTTTGTTTTGTTTCGAGACTGGGTTTCTCTGTGTAGCAGCCCTGGCTGTCTTGGAACTCACTCTGTAGACCAGGCTGGCCTTGAACTTACAGAGATCTGCATCACTATTCCCCTGCTCCTTTGTTTTTTAAGTGATTTTTTTTTCAATGACTTTCTTTCAGAACCATTGTAACATGTTTATGAGCAGAACTCACTAGCCAAGATCAGAAACTGCTAGAATACAACACATAAAGTAGTGTGCAGAATACACTTCATGCGTCAAAGCCTGGTGACTAGCTTTAAAAGTGGGTCTGGCCGGGCGGTGTGGTGCAGCCTTTACTCCAGCACTCGGGAGACAGCCACAATAGTTGAAATTCCTCAGTTTTTTTAGTGACAAATGAAACCTGAGAAAATTTGTCATGATTTAGTATTACTGTTTGAGGGTTTCATACATGCACATGATGTCTTTTGGTCAAATCCACTCCCTATTCCCCCAACCACTATCCCCTCCCAACTTTATGTGCTTTGTGTTTTTAGCCCACTTAATCCATTTCGTGCTGTCGGGATGTGTGGGGTTAGGACCTTTATTGGGTGTGTGCCGCCTCCTGTGTCTGGTATCGCTGAAGAAAAATGAACTTCCTCCAGCAATCACCAGTTGCTAATAGCTCCTCAGCTGTTAGAGTTTGTGTGGCTTGAACTTGCCTCTGAGAGTTCCTCGGTGCAGCTGTCTCGCTGTATCCGGAATGCGGTTTTGTTGGTCCTCCACCACCTCTGGCTCTTACAGTTTTTCCACCCTCTCTTCTGCAGCGATCCCTAAGCTAAGGAGGGAGAGGATATTGATGCATCATTTGGGATGGAGTACTCTGCAGTCCCTTATATTTGCAGATGATGAAATTTAAATCACATATTGCTGTTGGGGTCATGTGGTAATGTGTAGAAAGCCAGACTGGAGCCTTATCTCTCCATGTCCACCATGCTGTGGGAAGGGAGTGAGTGGACAGCTGACTGGACCACCTCAGCTGTCCTTCACTTGGACAGTCACTGCACTAGCCCTGCCCCTCACATTACCCCCCTCTCCTTTGGCCTGTGATGAATAGGTGGACACTGTAACGTGCCCTTTCTAGGTCTGTTGACGTCATTCTCTACAGAGAGCTGTCCGCCTGGGCATCTCCTTTAGAAGAGAAATTCCTGTTTGGCGTGTGCTTGGATGCTTCTGTGCTGAGTTTCCCCAGATATTGTTTAGTCAACTGAAGTCTTAACTCTAAAGGTCATAGGTTGGAAACTGGCCAAGTTCTCAAGAAAGAGGAGAAAATGTTTTCTCTGTGAGGTTATCCAGACTGAGCCTCGGAACTCACTGCTCCCAGGTTCCCATAGGAACGAAGAGGCACAGTTGGCCATTTAAAACCTTAAGTGTGCACAGTGAGAGAAAAAGACAAGGGGGTTCTCGGGGGTTCTCAGCTTCGGTTTCTCACAGATGTCTTCCCATTTGCCATCTGGCTGGGAATAGCACAGAATGAAAAGCATTACAGGTTGGGTTTGGTGATGCACATGTGAGGCTGAGGCAGGAAGATAGTGTACCTGAGCTACCCAGTGAGGCTTTGTCTCAAAAAAAATAAATAAATAAATAAAGGAAAGGAAAGGAAAAGTCAACACAGGAGAGGCAAGGAGAAAGGATACAGTTGAAAGTAAGTGCTGCTGGCCCTTCTCTCTGTTGGAATTAGTACCCTTGCCTGAGTTTACAGCATCCTGAAAGGCCCCTAATTCTTTTTAAGTGAGTGCATGCCACACCTTTGCCTTGGGGTTTGCCTGGGCCTGACAATTGCTGTTTAATGGAATGTCACCTTGCTGCTTACTCCTTCTACAGGGTCAGGTCATCGGCTCCAGGAGCATCATCTCCCCTGAAATCTGATTTTCTCTGTCTACTCTCCTTTCTCCCTGTCCGCATCCTTTACTGCCATCTTTTCAACTTGGAAAAGAGCCAGACACTTCACACTCAGAACAGGTCCTCTGTTTGCCTGAATGCCACACTTAGCAAAAGAGAAGGGGTCTGTTTTATAGCTGAAAGGAAGGGGGAGATTCATTTTTTCCCTCAAAGCTCTATATTATTATTTTTTTGAACATAAAAACAGGTTATAATTCAAAAGTCCAGGGTTATTTGAAATTGGAAAATATTTTCTCTGTAGAAAATAGTAAAAATGATAACATTTCCCAATAAGCCCTTTTAAGTCAAATAGTAGGTGAATTATACATATAAATATTGATTAGATTCTGGGATACAGAAGAAACCTATCTTCATCTGTTCAGAGAGCTATGTTTTACTTAACTTGTGTAAGTGAGATTCCTATTCATCTTCCCCTTCACTGTTTGATTTACGGCAGACATTTTTCTATAGGCTAATCCATAATCTAAAAAGATTGTAGCCTCCCCTCCTGAAAGTACAGCCAGCATATTCTTTCAACTTGATACGGTATAAATTCTTATCCTAATAGAGAAATGTTTCATTAAAGCTTGCCCAGTGCTTGGGCAAAACCAAAACTTATTATAAGCCACAGTCATCCTAGGGTCCCCCCTGCTAGGTAGCCTCCCTGGATCTGTGGGTTGCAGTCTGATCATCCTTTGCAGAGCTCTCTATTATGATATATCTGTTGTGTGCGGTTCATGGTAGGCCCTATGGGCAGCATACAGATAAAGAAAGGTCACACAAGTCTCCCTGGGAAATGATGGCCCAGGAAGGAAGAGAAGTAAAGATCAAGGGTTCCCGAGACATGACAACAAAACACTGCAGAGGGATTTTTCTCATTTGTGATCATCTCAATAGAGGTGACTGGCCATCTTTCCAGCTCTTAAAGTTTGAAGGCTGAAAACATGTATCCAGTGCCAGGGACCCATCTGGTAGAAGGAAAGAACCAACTCCAGCGCTGCGATTGTCTTCTGGCCTCATACATGCGCTGTGCTTCGCACCTACACACAAACATACAGTAAATAAAAGTGTGTAGCGGGGACAAGTTGGATTAAATGTATTCGTTCACCACCTGCTCTGTGCCAGGCATTGTGCTTATAGGAAATGCTCAGAAGTAGGAAAACACATGACTTGAGAAAATGGTCTTGAGTGGCCAAAGGCAGGGGATAAGGAGAGGACTAGGGTACCAGTCTGCAGGACTCCAGAGGGTTCTGACAGCCACATTGCAGAGTCTGCAAGCCCCACCTAACACTTGAGGACCTTTACCTATGCACAGGTAATCGTGGGTTTAGTAGATGGTCCAATTCAAAGGACTTACACAGAGAAGAGGACTTAGAGCTGCTACTTCATCATGTTCTGGACACTCAGCTCAAACATTTGCTATCCATAAGAATTGAATCTTATCCTTTTCTGCAGCAGTTTGAGAAAACTGTGCCTGTCGAGAAAGCTGCTCAGATCTCAAGGAGGCACAGTTAACCACATTTAATAAGTAACGGGGTCCCCTATTCAGAGATATTTGCAATGTAGATTTAAGCACAGTCGCTAAGGTACAGAGTAGGCACTTGAAAATGACCACATATCCAAGATGCAGGGTTCCCAAAAAAGTCTAGCAAGTTATTTTTTTCATTGATTTGCTTTAAAAAAAAAATTAATTTGTGTGCGTGAGTGTTTTGTCCGCATGTATGTATGTGTACCATATGTTTGCAGATGCCTGTGGGGTCCAGAGTGCATCAGATGCCCCTGGAACTGGAGTTCCAGGTGGTTCTGAGCTGCTGTGTGGGTGCTGGGAACTGAACTTTGGTTTCCTTGGGAAAGCAGCCAGTGCTTTTTTTAACCACTGAGCCATCTCTCCAGCCCCAGCATAGCTTCACTTTTGAATTGTTGACTTTGAGGTAAAGAAATGGACCGTTTCATAAATGGTTGAAATGGTTCTGGGCTAGGATAGTAGGGAGTCGGTAATTCTGATGTCCAGCTAAAGCATTTTGGTCTTAAAGTTTTCTGGCTGTGGGATTAGGCCACCGAATTAAAGAGAAAGCAGCATGCCAGTTAGTGCGTGGCTATAGCTTATGTCACCTTATTACTCTTGAGTCTGTGGTTGAGAAATAGAGACTTTCCAGGATGAAGGCATTTGCTTAGGATGTGGGAAATGGAGGCACTTGGACTCCTGCTGCTCTGTACTGCTCTCAAACACACACTGACTTCTAGGAGGGAGTTTTGTTTCCCTCTGAATCTCAGGACTACATTAGGGCCCATCTAATTCTCTGTTTAGAATAAGGAGCCAAGCCTCATGCGGGGTCACCAGTTAGCTAGGAGCCAGTCTCGGAGTCCATTCTCCACATCTCCTGCATTCTGATCCAATCTCATCCATTGTCCCAAGCTTTGGAAAGAAACAGTTCAGCTTAACTTGACACATTCCAGAGCCCAAATAAAACTGACCTTTAATGCTGTGATTTTCATTCCTGAAGAGAAAATGTGGGGGCTGGGAGATTAGAACTTTAAAAATGGCTTGTCAAAGGGCTTAGTGGTTAAGAGCACTGGCTGTTCTTGCAGAGGACCTGGGTTCAGTTTCAGGGGATCCTACTACCTCTTCTCACCTCCAAGGCAGGCAAAGCACCCATATACGGAAAATAAAATTTTAATTTTAAAAAGTCACTTATGAAGTAGTTAGGCCATTTCTGTTAGCAGAGTCTGGATTTCTATGAAGGATACATAGATTTTTTTTCATATTAGGGGAGATAGCAAATAACATTTTATTATTTTTTAAACTGGGAAAATGAAGCACTTGGGCCAGAATTAAGAATGAGACCCCAAAAAGCATCCTAAGGTGGTTGGTTACCTTTTGAGCCCTTCAGTTCCCTTCCTAGGACACAAAACTCTTATTTCCTGAGAAATCTGTGTGTAGAAGTGGTCATCTGTAGCTTGAGCCTTGTGCTGCCTAGGTGTTTTCCAAGCATTGGCTGTCACGAAGAATTTGAATGTCCCTCAGACAAGATCTTTGTTTTCTGCTGCTTGCTTTATACTTACTATATGTTAGCGTTTACTAACCCTGCCTCACCTCTCCTGACCCCTTGAGTCATGGTCTCTGGGGCTTCAGAGTCAACCCTGTTCTGGAGGTATCTCTTGGGCACACCAAAGTTGAAAGATCACTGCTTTCAAGTTCCTGGGTGAGAATTTGAAGCTGGAAAGGGGAGGACCTTGAAGAGCTGTGGACAGGAAACAAAGCGGAAAGAACACACCTGGATTCGGGGGTCCAGGAGGAGGAGCAGCTGGCCCTAGGTGTCCTCAGCCTCCTGTGAACTGGAATCTTCCAATGAGACCAGCTCTCGGGGAGCGCCATGGAATTTGTGGGAGGGGTAGGCCTGGAGACAGTTCCTAAGAGATGAACTTGTTCTTAGCTTTAGGGAAGTGAACGGGGGAGGAGGGGAGACACTATTCTCTTGAGTTAGATGTCATTTAAAGATAAGACACCAGCCTGTCAGGCAAGAAAATGTCTGGAATTCCACAAGATGCCGTGGCTGTGGGCTGGTGTAACGGAGCTGCTCTGTACTGCTCTGTAGACCAGTGGCAGTCAGGGACAGCTTAATTACCTTGAACTTGATTTGCATAACTTAACACAACTGTACAGCTCAGCTTTTGAGTCAAAAATACCTAAGTTAAAAACTAGTTTTGCTGGGTGGTGGTGGCACACGCCTTTAATCACAGGACTTGAGAGGCAGAGGCTGGTGGATCTTTGAGTTTGAGGCCAGCCTGGTCTACAGAGTAAGTTCCAGGATATCCAAGGCTACACAGAAAAACACTGTCTTGAAAACACAACACCAGAAAACAACCTCTACTTTTCTACTTTCTAGCTGTGGGTGTAGGTCCTTGACCAGGGAGGAGTGACCTGGTAAGGGATGGGGCTGCCTGCAGTCCCCTTCCAGGGAGAGAGTGTCTTGCCTCTTCCTGAAGCTAAGAGAATTACCTGTGAAGCAAGCAAGCGACACCCTGGTTAAGAAAACCCAGTTTCCTGGGTAACTGACGCCTGCATGTCCAAGAGGGAAGTGCAGTGTGGGCAGTTGTCTATTCTTATAAGCTCCAATGAGTAATTTTCATTGTCTAAAAATAGAATATTGCTGTTTGGGAGAAGTGGAATGATAGGCTGAAGTCTTTTTAGGGTGTTTGTTTTGTTTTTTTAGACAAGGTCTTACAATGTAGCCCTAGAAGGCCTGGAACTTAACTGTGTAGACCAGGCTGGCCTTGAACGCACAGCGATCTACTTGCCTCTGCCTCCCAAGTGTACCACCGGGCCTGGCAAAGCCTATTTTCAAATACACTACCTAATATTCATGTCATCTTCCACCCGTCCTTTTGGATTAAGGTTATAATTTCCGATGAGAAAAGAGACAATATGTGGGTATCCTCCACCTAAAGACATCCTTAGGTCTCTGACTACAATCTAATTCTATGCTCTAAACGGCTTTCAACCACCCCTAAAAGCCTCACTTTGGATACACATTTTATAAGAGTCATATAACTTGTTCTTTTGTGTAGGGGTTGGTGGCTGTTTGTTTTGTTTTGTGTTTACACAAGTTCTGGCTATGTAGCTCAGGTGATCCCCCTTGTGATCTCCCTGTCTCAGCCTCCCAAGTGCTGGTATTACAGGAGTGTGCCATTGTACCCAGAAAGAAAATATTTTTAAAGTTGTTTGGTGACTTTAATATGACAACGTCTGGGAGAAGCTCTGCTTTGGTGGTCTTTATCGTGGCCCACTATAGAACACTTCCCATTCAATCCTGGTTGCTTTTGTTTTTCATATTCTGTGTAGATCTGGAGCCCATACAAGCAGCCAGGATGTACAGGAGACCTCGACGGGCGGATTGAAGATGATTCCCGCTGCCTCTACACCCATGAAGAGTATATCAGCCTTGTATTGAACAGTGGGAGTGGCCTGTCCCACGACTACGCTAACCAGTCTGTCCAAGAAGACCCCCGGATGATGGCTTTCTTTGACTCTTTGGTGCGCCGTGAGATCGAGGGCTGGAGCTCTGACTCGGACAGTGACCTCAGCGAGAGCACCATCCTACAGCTGCATGCGGGGGTCAGTGAGCGCTCGGGCTACACTGACTCAGAATCCTCAGCCTCACTGCCCCGCTCCCCACCTCCCACAGTAGATGAGACTGCGGATAACGCCTTCCATCTGGGGCCCCTGCGTGTCACTGCCACAAATGCAGTGGTGTCAACCCCAGCAACGCCCACCTGTGAGGATGCAGCCTCTCGCCAGCAGCGCCTGTCTGCTCTGCGACGCTACCAGGACAAGCGCCTCCTGGCCCTGTCCAATGAGTCTGATTCTGAAGAGAATGCCTGTGAGGCTGAACTGGACACAGATCTCTTCCCTCGGCCAAGGTCGCCCAGCCCGGAGGATGGATCCAGCAGTTCCAGCAGTTCCAGCAGCTCGGAGGAAGAAGAGGAACTGAACCAACGCCGAGCCAACACCCGGCAGCGAAACGCCATGCGGAGGCGACAAAAGATGGCCCGGGAAGAGCGGCCCAATGCTCCAGTCAAGCCCACCAACACCTACATTGGAGAGGACAATTACGACTACCCTCAGATCAAAGTGGATGACCTCTCCTCCTCCCCAAACTCCTCCCCTGAGCGGAGTGCTTCCAATCTGGATCTGGATCTCCAACCGAGCCGGGCACCAGCAACTGCCAACATGGAATCAGTAGAGCGTAAGATTTATAAAGCTTACAAATGGCTCCGTTACTCCTATATCTCTTACTCAAGTAACAAAGATGGAGAGACCTCCTTAGTGGCAGAGGAGACAGATGAAGGGAGGGCAGGAACCAGCCCCACAGACAGCCCAACCCCTTCTTCTAGTAAGGAAGCCTGCCCAGCCCAGAGAGACCAGGACCTGCCCCCGGAAGGCTGCAGCAAAGATGCTTGTAAAGAAGAGACTTCCGCCAGAAACCCTAGCAGTGGCGCGAGCCGTGAGCACGGTAGCCATCCTTGGGCAGAGGTGCCAGAGGGCACCTCTCAGGACACTAACAACAGCGGCCCTCTAGAACACTCTTTTGAAACCAAGAAGCTCAATGGCAAGGCCCTGAGCAAGGCCCTGAGCAGCCGGGCTGAGGAGCCACCCTCTCCTGTCCCCAAGGCATCTGGTTCCACTCTCCACAGTGCGCCTGGCAACTGTCCCAGGACCCAGTCTGATGACAGTGAGGAGAGGGGCCTTGACACCCTCTGTGCCAACCACAACAATGGACACCTGCACCCCCGGCCCCCTCACCCCCACAATAATGGGCAGAACTCTGGGGAGCTGGAGACAGTAGGCTACTCTTCCCCGGGACACCCGGACACTGACCATGATAACCCACCCCTGACAGGGGTGCTTCTGCACAAAGATTGTTGTGGGTCTGAAATGGCCTGTGAGACCCCCAGTGCTGGAATGAGAGAAGACCCCACTGACCCCTCAGCCATGGACAGCAGCAAGGTTGTTCATGGCCACAGTGGCCTCAAAAGGCACCGAATTGAATTGGAAGACACAGATTCAGAGAATTCCTCCTCAGAGAAGAAACTAAAAACATGATAAATACAAAGGGAAAACAAAAAGCTACAAAAAGTAGCCTTACAAAGTAATTTTTTCTTGTTTAGTGAACACAGAGGAAAGGAAAAAGTATTAAAGGCGCATAAAACCAGGGCCTGAAGCGTGTCTGCTGCTGCTCCCTCTGTTACCACTTCCAGTGGGTCAGAATGTCTAGCTGGCACTGCCTGGTGCTCTGCTGAGCGGGGGAGACTCCTAACGGCTCTCTTCTAGTGAGATGCGAGCATAGCATTCCTGTGCAGGCTCTGTGACAGTGACCCTGTCTTGGGACATTTGGCTTGTTCTTGTGTGTATGTTCCCACTGGCACATGTGGGCTTGTTGTCTTCTGAGGCCTTTCTTTATCTGTCCATCAGCAAAGCCCTGTGGGTCTGTAGAGTTTACCATCTCACCTGTTCATTGTTCACATGACATAGGTGTTCTGGTCTTAACAAAGAGTGTCCCTAGATCAGACCGTGCTGCCATGAGTTGTAGATTTACGCTAGCAGAAAGGAGAGGCCTGCCTTCAGCCTGGCTCTGCTGAAGAGGAAAACATGGCTCCTCTTTAAATGGTCCATGTTTTCTCCAGCTAACACATCCTTGAGCATTTACTGTGACTCTAAGTGGAGCATTGTTCCTGCTAAGAAGAGGTTGACACTTGAGCTCAGATCCCCATAGTGTCACTGCAGAAGGGGCAGAGCTACACTCGATGTGTGAGGTCCATAACAGTAGCTAGTGAACAACACACTTTATCCACTTGTGTGCTGGCTCCTAAGAGGCACTCAAGGCCAGCAGGTGCTTCCTTGGCTCCACGTAATGGAGTTCAGGCATACTGGAAGAAGAAAGGACCCCTTGGGAGAGCTTTTTACCCAAACTAATAAAATGGCTGGTAGAGGGATGTTAACAAGTTGTAGTGCAGAGCAGAATGTGGTACTTACTGTATCCAGTGCCAGTCCATCAGTCAGAATGTGGTATTGTATCCACTGCCTGTCAGAATTGGCAGGCCTAGCATCTTCCTTGGGCTTGGAGCTGTCAGAGGTGGTGGGGTTCCACCTGAACTTTACAGAGTAGTGGGCATATGGAGAGACAAGTCTCTGGTTTATCTCCTGACTCCCTGAAGACACTGTTCTGTTGAAGTAGGTAACAATGGAGAGAAGAAAATATCAAATTTCCAGTTTATATTGGTGATGGTAGTCCCTGAGTTGTCAATGAAGGGTTGTGCAAGATAGGACCTAAGGATGCCCAGATGTCCTGTTGGTGTAGATGTTGGTGTAGCAGGGGGAAGAAAGAACAGTGGAACTTTAGATGCAAAGGTGCTAGACAGCTGGAGCCTGGCTGGAGCTGGCAGAGGGAGGACAGCACCAGGCGACTGTGGCCTCACTGACGCATCCAGTGTTCCTTTCAGAGGAGGACCTGTCCCGCTGGGATGGAGCCAAGAGAAGAGCACTTGTGGAAGCTGAGGAGTGGATGCTGTTCAGTGCTGGGAGCCAGGGTGCTTATAAAAGGAAGGCAGTTGGTAAGAGCTAGGAGGATAGAGCATCTTGCTGAGCTTTGCGGAAGGAAGATGTGCTTAGTTTAGTATCTGGTGATGTGGCTGAGGTGTGAAAGCACAGTTTGGGAAGGAGAGGAAGGCGCCTGAGTGGGGATGCATACAGTCAGCAGCTGGACTCATCCTGGGGAGCGGGACAGCAATTCTGTAACCAACATTAGAATTTCTTTAGATTTGTAATTAAAATGGTTCTATGATTTATCTTTTGACTATTCACAGATAATTGTAAATTCTGGTTTTATAAGCCCAAGTCATTTTACATTTGCTTTTCCAAAATTATTAAATTGGAATTTTTAATCCTTTATATACAAAAAAAGTTATAACCACTCAGTGTGTGTCTCTCTTCCCCTTAGTCAGCATACCTGATTCTTCTGTTCCATTTTACCTTAATCTAATCAGATAGATTCACACCCCGCATTCTTCCTGGAGGAAAAAGAAAGCAAAATTAGCTATTGATAATTAGTTTCCAAGAGCCAAGGGTGGTCTTTCATGTAAAAGCTGTCTATCTCATTTGGGTATTCAAAACATTCAAAAGTCAGAGTTCACCTAGTTCATAGCTGTAGACGCTGAAAAAGGTCATCCTTTGAGGGATATGTTCCATCCTTGGGAGAGACTTCCAGCACCATAGGTTGAGTTCTCAAGAGATGGGCCCTGAAATAGCCACCAGAACAAGAGAAAGAGGGATACTTCTTTTAGCCACTCCACACTCATTTCCAGAGGTCTTGCGTTGTATGATCCTGATACTGAAAGCCTGATGGGAACCACTTCGAAGATCCCTTTGCCTGGACCATTGTAGAATCCAGGCCTCCCATGTTGAAGACATATTTAATCCCCAGATTCTTCCATGATGGATGTTTTTCCTAGCAAGAGAGGGCACTGATCAGGCTAAGAACTCCTGGAAGTGCCTCTTAAGGATTTTTTTCTGCATCCTGTATATAATGTTTTAAGCAGCAGGTCCAGGTATGTGAAACTGTTTCTCTTCCCTTTATTTCCCACTTGGTTTTGTAAATGATTCTCAACCGATAAATGAGTTCATTGAGTTGTTAGCTTGAGGCAAAAGAAGTTTGTGCTGATTTACTAGGAGTCTCGTGTTGTCTGTCAAGGTGCCTTCCTCTGCTGAAGCCTTACCTCCTCAAAGCCCTGCCTCTTCTCACCCAGCAACGCTGACTCTTCTCTGTGTATATGCAAATAAACCTATTAATCACTTCTCCCTGGCTTCCTCCTCTCTTCCTAGGAAGACTTGGTTGCTTAGACACCCTCCTTCTTTATTTCTTTGCTGTTTTAATCGCTGCCTGATTGGAAACTTGATTAGATCCACACTGAAGATGAGAAGACAAATCCCATGTCTAACAGGTCACTTCTAGGTATTGGGGCAGAGGTCACATCTCACAATAAAAGGAAGGGAGGTGCTGTGTCTACTTGGTCTCCTTCCCCAGGCTCACAGGGACTCAGGGTAGTGAGCTCCTGGAGCTGACATTTTTATTAGTTGGAATTTCACGCACGGCCACCCCCTCCCCTAGTGGATGTTTTCTGATGCTTCCAGATATGATGATGCTTTTCATGATGTCTTAGGTACATTGCAAACTTTTTTCTTTAAAAAGAGGACAGAGTGAAAAACAGCAAAACTTGTGTCATTCTATAAAGCTGTTGAACATAGACTATGTTTAACTGAAACATTCCTACCAACCAAGATGCTTGTCAGGAGAACCCTCCAAAGGAAGCCTCTTCTTCCCTTACAACCTGAGTCCAACTGTGTACACTAGGGGGATCACCAAGGTGTGCAGGTCACACTTCTGAGTCCTGGGCTTGTCCCCAATGGCAGGATAATGGCTTTGTTTTTTGTTGGTTTAATTGGGGATGGGGGAGGGGGGGTAGGGTTAGTTTGGGTGCTTAGTTTTATTTATTGTGTTTTGCTTCCAAAAAAGATAAAAATCACAATCTCATAGTAAAGCCCAAGCTATTCTCAAACTGTGATAGTCCTCCTGCCTCGGCCTCCTGAGCACTAGGTTTCCAAATATAAGCCACCATTCCCTGCTTGTACTGTATTTAGGACAGAGTTTCACTACTTAGTCTATACTCCTGCCTCCAGTGCTGGGATTGCAGATGGACACACACACACACACACCATCACACCATCACACCCAGCTCTAGGGTAATGGTCTTCAACAAGCTGTGTGGATCTCTGATGAGGTGTTCTAGTCAGAATGTTCATTTGTCCTTGAGCAAGAAATACCAGAATGAAATAACCTGGGTTTGATTAAACAAACTGTCATTGTCTTCAAAGATCCAGTGCTTCTGACAGTATGATGAGAATCTGACTCATTTGGACTCTAGTTGTATTTCGTTGCTAGTCGACAAGATGCTTCTTGGGATTGAAACTTGGAGGCAAAGGTGACTGGGGAATAGGCCTGTGTCATATGCAGACAGGAGGAGTCCGTTCCATTCCCCATGTGTAGAAGGGCTCTGGGGAGCTTATCCTACTGTGAGGTTGTCTAGCAGTTCAAATGGCCTAAGTTGGGAATGACTCTTTTCTGAGCTCATGAGCTATTCCAGCAGAACTTTATCTGCCTGTCACTACTCCACCAAGGCTGGGGAAGGACACACACTAAGATACCCAAGTGACCACAAGAGTGCGTGGACAGGAGAAAAGTTGTGTTGTCTGGGGCAGTTGAAAGGGAAGACACCCGGGAGTTGAGAAGACTTGGAAGACTGCAGTGGAAGAGATGGAATGTCAAGGAGGGTCAACAGCTCCCTGGATCCATATAGCCGGCATTCAACATGTTAATTAGGGAAGAGGCTCAATGGTATAGTACCTGCCTGCTGTGCCTCAAGCCCTGGGTTTGATATCCACCACTGAAAAACAACAAACACCAACCAAAACCCTCAGGTGTAATCCCAGATTTATCATTGAAGTCAACAGAAATGTAGAGAAACTCTCCTAGAATCCATAAATACTACGGAAATAGCCCCAACCAATTTCCTTTCTTCATAAGAGACCTGTGAGTGGAAATATCATTGAACTCGCACAAGAAGTGCATCCTACGTTGGTTCTGAGTGAAGAACATTCGTGAGTCAGGCAACTCTCCAATATACTTGGGAACTATCAGATAGGTCCCTCAACTCTGAAATGTAACTCCTCCTGTTCCAGAACCTTGGATCAGAGGGCTCTCTAGATCCTACTCAAACATTACCGTTTTTTGAGACATCTCTGTAGTGCCCACCAGAGCTGGTTGGTGAGCCAAGATCTTTGTCTCAAGTTCCTGTGTGTGTGTGTGTGTGTGTGTGTGTGTGTGTGTGTGTGTATGTGAGAGAGAGAGAGAGAGAGAGAGAGAGAGAGAGAGAGAGAGAGAGAGAGAGAGAGAGAGACCAACAGGATCTATATGTATGTGTGTTTTTAAAATGTGTACAATAAGGCACATATCTGAGAATGACATAGAGAGAGAATACAAGTGCTCACTGTCGTTGGCACATCTCTTTTTTTGTTCTGCTTCTTGACACAACATCCATGTGCACACCACTAGAAGGCTTTTTGGAGAGCAGTCCACCAAGGCATATGGGTAGTCAACATCCTTCGGAGAAGAATGGCTGTTTATCAGCAAGATTCAAAAACCACAGTAAAAGAGATTGGCCCCATTCCCGTGGACCACATGAGGCTTGCTTTAGAGCCTTTGGCACGACCTCTGAGAATCTTAAAAGCTAGGCATGGCTGACAGAGACCTCATAGATCTTTGCACACGACAAGCTTGCAAAGGTTGGGATAAGGAGTGGCACATTTTTTTAGGTTAAATTTTTGATATGGTGATACTGGAGAAGATCCGGGCCTTAAGAGCTAGGACAGCAATGCTCTCTGAGTTTCTGAGGTCAAGTTCTTGGACCTGGTGCTGGGCCAACCCTAAGAGAACCTGGAAAGGGCCAAGTCATGGAAGAGTGCTGTGTGTGCCAAAGTAGAGTTAACCAGTTTGCCATGCAGGGTTGAGTGTGTGTGTGTGTGTGTGTGTGTGTGTGTGTGTGTGTGTGTGTGTGTGTGTGAAATCTCAGTATCCCATCCAAGAAGAAGCTAAACCATAAAAACAAGTCTGACGAGACCAAGGAAGGAAAGGTGAAGTTCACTGCCTGCCTCTGTAATAAAGGAGCTGGATTAGCGATGTGGGGACATGGCTGTGGTTCTTGGGGCGGGCAGAGAAATGTGAGAGGGATTTTGCATTGCTGGTGGAAAAGAGGCAATGGAATTACACTTAAATTACACTTTACCTGAAACTTACATGGTTTCAAGTAAAGCACATCTGCCTGAAGAGAGGCCAGAACACGGTGTCATAGGGCAGACAAGGCATAGAAGAGTCAGAACCTAAAGAAGTACTTTGGAGCTGAGAGGAGAGGGGAGGGGAGAAGACCCTCATCAGCCGCTGCTTCTGGTCCATTCTAAAGGTGGAAAATCAAATTCCAGTTGATGATCACTAAGGCCAGTGTTTCCATCAGATCTCACTGCCTGCTTCCTGAATATGGTTCCTGGGTCCTTGCTTCCTGCGTAAAGTTCCGTTTGGCCTCATTCTTACCAAGTGACTGGGACCTGATCACAATGTATAGCAATAGTAAGGGATTGTAAATGGTCACATGGAGGCAGGTTGAGTTGGGTGGAGCCTTTGGCAAAAGAGTGGATTGAGATTGGACCGCCCTTACCCTACACCCAGGAGTTTGCACCTCTGACCACATTCTCAACTGTTTGGCTGCAAGAGAAAAGCCATCAACATGCCAGGGGCCTGGGAAAGATCAAAGGAACTGCAGAGTAGGAGCCCGGTTGCTTAGGTTTGAAGTATGAATGGACTTAAGACTAAGAGAAGACCCTTCAAGTTCAAGAAAGGACTTGCTTTTGTATAATGAGTGGTACGTGGCTTTCGTCCCAGCACTCTGGAGGCAGAGGTGGGTTTCTGGCCTGGCCTACACATTGAGTTCCAGGACAACCAGGACTATATAGAATGACCCTGTCTCAAACAAAAAGAGAAAGGTCCTGGGGAGGAAAGGAATCTTTTCAAATGCAATCCTCCCAGTTACGAGCCCAACTATTATGACCTTCTTGAACATTGGATTTTCTTAAACTAACTGGAATACACAGTGTGCAGCTCCTGTTTCTTTATGGTTCAGGGGGTGGGTCGGTTTGTCTTGTGGTACAAAGGGTTGAACCCACTCAGGGAGGTAGGTCAGCACCAAAGGTGGACAGTTGGTCTCAACTCTACCTGATTCCACACAGGATTTTCTGTGGGAGAAAGAGTTGGCTAACACAAAGGCCTGGATCATCATTCCCCAAATTAGAGCCTCCCATGGAGAGACCTAAGGGAGAAGTCACAGATTTGAGTCCCTACTGCTGCAGTGGGGTGCTACTTCAATTCCTCAGGAGGTTGGTTAGTTCTGGTCAGTAACTATTCTCTGTACTGACTTTCTCCCCCTGGTTTCAAGTCCAGTAGGCAAACATTTCATAAGACCAGGAGATAAGTTTGGGGAACAGTTTGGACCTGCTAGATGCTGCACTTACACCTCTTCACCCTCCAGATCTACATGAAAGGAATCCAGAGGAAGGTAAGTTCTTGGATTCTGCTTTGAATAAAGGAAGGGAAGGGAGGGTAGACTGGACTGATGCCCGCGACACAATTGAAGTGTGACTCTAGGATCTTCTAAGAAGAGTCAGACTTACCCTAAAGACTCACATGGCTGGGGGATCGGGTTTGCAAAATCGAACTAGGGCTGGAGGTGCAGGTGCACATCTGTAATCCCAGCACCTGGGAGATAGAGGCTGAAAGAGCAGGAGTATAAGGCCAACCTGGTCTATATCATGAGTCCCAGGTCAGCCAAGGCTACATAGTGAGACCCTGTCTCAAAATAAACAATGCTCTCCACCAAAAAAAAAAAAAAAAAAAAAAAAAAAAAGCCAGTAGGGCAATGGTGGCACACACCTTAAATCCCAGCACTTGGGAGGCAGAGGCAGGCAGATCTCTGAGTTTGAGGCCAGCCTGGTCTGCAGAGTAAATTCCAGGACAGCCAAGACTGTTACACAGAGAAATCCTATCTCAAAACAAGCCATGCTACGTTTTTGTTTAAGATAACCAGCTCACCTCTTCTAGTTAGAATTGTCTCTCGCCATCATTAATGAGGTCATAGATCATGGACTGTCCCACAGGGCTGGGACCAGGCCTTGGCAGAGACAGGAAGGAAATCA